GATAGATAGGCGATTAAAGTTTTAATTGTCTAAAAGTCTTTCTTGTTCTCTGTTCTTTCATGAGAAGAAACCCATGCTGCCTTTAACACTGATTTTTTTTTTTGAATATCTGTGAAGTTTCAAATTACTGTTGTTTTAAAAATTTCCTTCTGCTTCCAGAGTTATCTGTTTCTTTTACCCTCAAATGCTTCAGTTAGTTTAGGTCTGTCTTCTAGAGGATGAAGCACATTTCGGATGAGGAGAATGTATAACCAAATTTGTAGAAGCAGAAATAAAAAAAGCTTCTTCTAGGAGCCCTGATAACCTGATTATTATAAACTGGTGGGCATATGCATGATAATGGCCTGAACTAGAATGAGTACAGGGAGAACTGAAAGAAAAGAACTGATATGCAAGTAAATATAATTGGATTATAACTGATTATAACTGATTCCAAGTAAATATAATTGGAAACTGATTTTGCCATTCTCTAAACTCCCATAGGACTCTCTCACTGAACTAATTGTGTGCTCCCTTATAATGTTAATTATTATATCCATATGTCTTTCTAGTAAATTGTAACTCTTCAAGAAAAGGACTATGCCTTATTTATTCATTCTTTTGTAGATATATATTGGTCAAGAATTGTTCTAAGTGCTAGAGATAAAGCAGGGTGCAAAGACGAAAACATACCTGCTCTTAAGTCCACTGAATATATTTACTTATATCTTTAATACTGTTCAGAATTCAAGACTAGGCATTCTTGAGTAAATATTTATTATTTAACCCATCTTTAAAAGGTAATATTAAGATTATCTATTTGTGTCTGTTTAGTTGTGTTGCAGTAGTTCTTTTGGTATTGAACTCTTAACTTGATACAGAAAGTTAATACACATACCATACATGCAGATTAAACTAGTATCCATCATCTTAATTAGAGGTAATATAACATCTTAGCGTGATGAAAAGAATATCACCCTGGAAGGAATCCAAAGTTCTAGCTGAGTGGGTTTGCAGATGCAACTTTTACCCTGTTTACCTTCTCAGAGCCTTAGTTCTCTTATATGTAAGATAAAGAGGCTGGTATCTTTTAGCGCTGACACTTTGAGTCTGAAAGTGGGGCAAAATATTAATTCTTGTGACCTTTGAAGAAATGTGGCTAAACTGTCTAATATGTTTAATTGAATGATTAGAAACAAAAATGAGGGCTCGGTGCCTGTGGCTCAAGTGGCTAAGGCGCCAGCCACATACACCTAAGGTGGCTGGTTCAAATCCAGCCCGGACCCGCCAAACAACAATGATGGCTACAACCAAAAAATAGCCGGGCGCTGTGGCGGGCGCCTGTGGTCCCAGCTACTTGGGAGGCGGAGG